TTTTAATTTCTGGAAAAGTGTGATCAACATCACGCCGGCCGCCTCTATCTACTTTCCATATTTCCTTGCATTCATTTAGGATTCTCTCTCTCTCTCTCTCTCTCTCTCTCTCTCTCTCTCTCTCTCTCTCTCTCTCTCTCTCTCTCAGTCTACACCGGTCAATACTTGGGCGGAAAGTTCTGGTTGTCTGTCAATTTCAGGACGTTTGTCTTGTTCTAGAATTTTTGCGTGCACACCCATTTTATTTTACACATCTGCCTATTTTGCAATCAGACCGTTGGCTCCTTGCCTTTCATACAGATGTACTTCAATTTTTAAGGAAACACCCATAATTACTCGCCTTTTAGGACATGCTTGTTAGGGAGGCAGTGTGTCTCACTTACCCCCAAAAGGGGTGCCCCATAACTTTTTTCTGGGAAAGGCTGGGTCAAGCAGGAAGCACACTGGATTCTAACAATCCACCTTGATGTGGATTTGAACCAAAGACTGTCAGCTAGGCAGGCAAGTGTTTAACAACCCCGGCTCCCATTCATACCTGAGCCGAGCTGAAGATAATGGCTGACAATGACTGAATACAGAAGTGACATCACTGCTCTCAGGAAATTCCCATAAGTGCTTCTTCTCCTTCCTCAAGGGCCAACGAAGAGTTTCTATACTGGTGTCAGCTGCATTCTGAATAAAATGTCTCCTGGTTTGAGCGGGTAGAAAATTATGCAGAACCTCTGCTCACTCCCAGCTGAATCGTTCTCTCCATATACAGCTGTTCTGCTGTACTATTCATTTGCTCACAGAAAGCCCTGATTGTGTAAACTATTTTATAACACTTAGTTGCGTATCCTTTACACGAAGTTGCAGACCCAGCCCCAGCATTTTTTGGCTGTTATGGTTTTTCTAGGCAAATTTACGTCCAGTAGTTTGCCTCTCAACTTTCTGGACTGTGAGCTTCTCAACCCCTGTCGAAACCAACGCAGGGCCCGCAGCCGGGATCGAACTCCGTATCCCGGCATTATGAAGCGCGTTCGAAATGCCTAAGCCACAGACGCCGACCTGATATATTATAATTACTGATAAAAGAGAGAATCAGTCACCGGGGCAGGTCAAGAACCACTGAAACAGACCTCCAGGATGACCCAGGGTTCGCTGGGAAGACAACATCCGAGAGTCCCGGACTGACAAGAGTACTGGAATGGAACAAAGCCAAAGAGAAAACTGCTGACAGAGAAGGCTGGCGATCTCTCTGGCAAAACTCCTGGGTAGAGGAAGATTATATAGTGACAACCATCAGCCGACTTGACTGTGGCACTTGGAAACTCATGAGTCACCTGCACATGGTATCCCATCTTGTCATTGCAGACATAATTAGCTATTCTAATCAAGTTTTACGTTTATAATAGATTCTAATTTCACTGTCTCTCTTGACAGGCGTAATTGTTATGTTATATAATCATTTTGTACTTTCAGAAACAGATTCTGATCTTCGCTGTCTCTCCTGACATACGTAATTAGACTTAAATTCCATATATACTTTCAGAAACAGGTTCTGATCTTCGCTGTCTCTCCTGACATACGTAATTAGACTTATAATCCATATGTACTTTCAGAAACAGGTTCTGATCGTTATCTCTGTTTGCAGACATAATTAGACTTATAATTCATATGTACTTTCAGAAACAGGTTCTGATCTTTGTTATCTCTGCTTGCAGACGTAATTAGACTTATAATCCTTTTGTACTTTCAGAAACAGATTTTCAACTTTGTAATTTATGTCGTAATTACCTGCTGTAATCCCTTTGCAATACAACAGTTAGCAGTTCGTGTATTAGTTACTCAATTCACCTCAGTCAACACGGTAAAGTAAAAGTCAAGGACCCTTTTACATGACTTCGGGTGTATTGGTCATATAGGGCTAGATCTATATGTTATAGAGGAATCGGCACTTTGTGTGTGATGTGATCAACATCACACCGACCGCCTTAACTTTAGAAAACTTTACCTGGTACCCATTTAAGGTTGGGTCGACCTGGGAGCCAAGGTCATTTTTAAAAGAAAGTCTGGCTCTATCAGGACTTGAACGCATGACCTTTAGAACCCTAGGCGAGCATCTAGCCACTACACTGTGACTGCTCCGGTCAACACAGCAGCTGTATTAATTCATTGTATTTAAAAAAAGTGACTATAACCCCCAACCTGTCCCATAAAGTTATTATGTCAGCTCTATCAGACCCCCGCATGATAGACAACTGCGTAAAGGAGTGATCTGGAAGCTTCGCAATCAGCCTAGTCCTAAAAACTGGACGATGATGAGGCCCACATGTATGATACACATTTGCCTCGACTTATGACCACACAAAATTAATAATAACAATAGTAAATAAAGACAGATAACTAGTAAGGTCAGAATGTTCCCAGAACTGATGCCAAAAGCGCACTGGATCAAAACACCAGTCATAGATTTCATTTTTGGTTTTATGTACAAATTATTTAACTCCTTTGACTGAGAACAGTGCTGAAAAAATATAAATTCAACTTACCAGATACTACAGAATTGTGGGGCGGGTAGATTTACAGGCAAAAACCAGCAAAAAATTCTTTAAATTTCTGTACTTTTTAAATGTTTTTTGTTTTCAGTTTTTCCTCCTCCAGATTTATATTCCATAGGACTAACTTGTAAGCCAGATAACCGGCATGCTCATTGCCTTGAACACTTACAACTTGTTACCCAAACAAAGGATCATGATAGTTTATGTGTATGAGAAAGACAAAAACTACTTGTTACCCAAACAAAGGATCATGATAGTTTCTGTGTATGAGAAAGACAAAAACTACTTGTTACCCAAACAAAGGATCATGATAGTTTCTGTGTATGAGAAAGACAAAAACTACTTGTTACCCAAACAAAGGATCATGAGTTTCTGTGTATGAGAAAGACAAAAACTACTTGTTACCCAAACAAAGGATCATGAGTTTCTGTGTATGAGTAAGACAAAAACTATTTGTTACCCAAACAAAGCATCATGATAGTTTATGTGTATGAAAAAGACAAAAACTACTTGTTACCCAAACAAAGCATCAGATTGTTTATGTGTATGAAAAAGACAAAAACTACTTGTTACCCAAACAAAGGATCATGATAGTTTATGTGTATGAAAAAGACAAAAACTACTTGTTACCCAAACAAAGGATCATGATAGTTTATGTGTATGAGAAAGACAAAAACTACTTGTTACCCAAACAAAGGATCGTGATAGTTTATGTGTATGAGAAAGACAAAAACTACTTGTTACCCAAACAAAGGATCATGATAGTTTATGTGTATGAGAAAGACAAAAACTACTTGTTACCCAAACAAAGCATCAGATTGTTTATGTGTATGAAAAAGACAAAAACTACTTGTTACCCAAACAAAGGATCGTGATAGTTTATGTGTATGAAAAAGACAAAAACTACTTGTTACCCAAACAAAGGATCATGATAGTTTATGTGTATGAAAAAGACAAAAACTACTTGTTACCCAAACAAAGGATCATGATAGTTTATGTGTATGAGAAAGACAAAAACTACTTGTTACCCAAACAAAGGATCATGATAGTTTATGTGTATGAGAAAGACAAAAACTACTTGTTACCCAAACAAAGGATCATGATAGTTTATGTGTATGAGAAAGACAAAAACTACTTGTTACCCAAACAAAGGATCATGATAGTTTATGTGTATAAAAAAATAAAAGTAAATTACCCTTTTCCATGCCTTTAGGCATATAGGGCTAGACCTATATTTTTATAGACCAATCAGCACAAGATGGGTGATGTGGTCAGCATCACGCCAGCCGCCTTTACTTCCTGGGACTGCACCCGGTACCCACTCAAGGCTGGGTCGACTTGGCAGCCAAGGTCATCTTTGAAAATTAGTTCGGCTCCGCCAGGGAGCAAACCCACAACCTTCCGATCTGCGGCGAGCGTCTAGCCGCTCGGAGTTTATGTGTATGAGAAAGAAAAAACTACTTGTTGCCCAAACAACTAGTCTCACAAACAAAGGATCAAATATGCTAGTTTTCAGTCATTAGTGAGTACTATCATCACAGAACCGAACAGGCAGATAGACTGGCTGCTTCAGCAAAACATAGCGGTGACAAGCATGACAAGCTAGATTTTGTAAAGACCCTTTGGGGGTGAGTGAACAGTGTGGAGGCGCAGATGCACGGAGTGACCAGAAGATTTGGCTGGCGCTCGACACTCAGGGAATAACCAGATGGATATATAGTCAGACTGTTACTGGTAACCAAGGAAACTGGAACTCTATTGTTTTGTCCAACAAACACATTAACCACTTGGCCATTGCAGATTTAGTAATTTACACTATACTGCAGCCTTGTATTTCTTTTTATATTTAAATATACTATCCCTGTTACTGGGAGGAAGGGCGTGTGTCCCCCCCCCCCCTATTTTTTCCTAAAAAGTATGTCGTATAATGTGACTGATTAGGAGTTTGCTAAAATCGTATATAGTGGGCTAAAAGGTGCAAATATCGAACCAGTTGTAAGCCGCAACACAACTTGCTAAGCCACCTTTTTGAGGGTGAGTGCAGAAAAACATATTATTAATATTAGCTAATTATTATATAAAAGATTGGTGGTATGCACACCAACACAAACATGTGTTTGCTGTCTTTTTTGGTGTTAACTAAGTACCTTCCGGCTTTGACTATCTCCAAGTTCAAGTTTTCCCTCCAGCCTTATTTAATATTATATTTTCGTTCTTGTCTTTTGAGAATCGATCAATTAAAAATATAATTTGACTTGCATTTCCACCCGCTCTCTCGGAGATATTTATACACTTTAAGGAAATCTTGCTATCCAACCTACTGTTGTTTAATACTATGTATTATTTACAATGATGTATTATTAGTATAAATGAGTGTGTTGATTTGTCGCAGAGCAAATAACTGACACACTAAGACAGCACAAGTGACAAGTCGTCTGCTACACTACCAACACTACTCACCTGAACAGCTCACGGTGGCTCTCAAAATCCAACTTTTTCTTCTTTTTCTCACTAATCCAATATCCAACGCGTCTCATGTTGATGTTTTCTATATCCGAGCGTAATCCATAAATGATCAGCAAGCCGACAGAAGGTGCCTCCTACACCACAAACTGCTCCACGAATCTTGCAACTCTGATCTGATCCTGATCTCCCGGATACTGGACCGGTTTTTTTCCACAACATAAGTGGGTATAAATAGCAAATGTTATCTGGTGGCGAATACACGAAACAAATTTGAATGTAGCCAACCGTGCATTACGTTTTATGATTTATGGAAAAAAAAAGGGGGGGGGGGGGGGGACATTTTGACATATCATTTTTAGGTGGTAATTTAGGCACATAGTAAAGAGTAAGAAACATATTTATATAAAAGGAAATAACTTAGTACTTATCGCTGCAATTTACAGGTGGAAGACCGGTTAAATGAAACCAACCATCTGTGGTATTATTCTGAATTGAATAAGCAGATTATAATTATATTTATGTAGGCTTAACATGCAGTTTTTAAAAAAAAAACATAAGGAAAAGCTTACATCAAAGGGTACATGAGATTGATATTTTAAATTTGCATCTACATGAATAGTCCAACGCGTTCAAAACTATGACTCGGCTGAATCGTTTCAGTGTTCTTCACCAGTCACTATTTACTAACCCCCAGTGGTTTCCAACCTGGTAGGGGAAGGGGGGGGGGGGTAGAGTTGGCGCTAGGAGGTTTCAAGGGGGCGTCAAACAATTTTAATATTGAGCGCATCTGTGTTTGTATTAATCATTGATATTTTTTTCAGTTTAATAATAAATAAAACTACATATTTTCAAAATTATTTATAAAACAGTTCTTCTACTAATGGTGGTAGTTGCAATCTGATTATAAGTTCGTTTTTCAGTCACGATCAACACAAGAAGAGACAAAGTCACAAATAGCATTAGAGAGAAAGTTGGAAGTGGTGCCTGAATTACATTGAAAAAAAAATAGAGAATAAAATGCTATGGCCAACATGTAAGAATGCAACCGGAACAAACTGTATATAAGGCCTAAAACAGTAAACAGTATGGGGCGGCGCCGGCACAACATCGGCTCCACTATATCAGCGATTCATCAGATAGTATTGATACCTGCACAATACAGTATATGCTGGTCCCTTTGAGGATAGGCAGAGCGAGAGGACTTCTCCGCAATTGTCATCAGATATTGATACCTGCGCAATACAGTACATGCTGGTCCCTTTGAGGATAGGCAGAGCGAGAGGACTTCTCCGCAATTATCATCAGATAGGATTAAAACCTACATAACACAATACTATATCTGCTGGTCCTTGGTGAGGATAGGCAGCATCAGAAACAAAGCATTTGCCAGAGCGAGAGGCCTTCTCCGCAAGCACCATGTCTCGGAGAAACAAACCTAACGGAAAGCGCAACGGACAGAGGAAACAACCCACTGACCGATCTAACTCGGCGGCCAGGAAGACGCAGACAGTTACTACCGGATCACAGGAAGACGCCCCGACTACCAGTGAGGCCCTGAGTGACGATCCAGCGTCACCTGAACCAACACAGCCAACTCCACAAACATCTCCAGATCGACGAAAGACAGGCAGCTATGAATTTCCTGCCACAATATTTCTACGACAGACCAGCTCGGGCCGGACAGCAATCACTACACTGGCAACGCTAACATTGATCAATATGCTGGAGATCATATTAGGCAAGAGGGCAGTCGCAAAGATTAGAAGAACTCGAGAAGGAGTGATAGCTTCACTAAACAGAACCAACCGCACCTCAGACATGCTGGATGACATCCAACACAGCGGCAAGAAAGAACTCCGACTATCCGAGGAGATAACTGTGACGGCTACAATCTTCCAGAATGTAAGACGCTGGGTGATCCGAAGAGTCAACCTGCAATGGAGCAACGAAGAAATTCTGCAACAAATAAGGAAAGAAAACCCCAATGTCAACATCAACCAAGCAGAGAGACTGGGCTCAAAACGGCATCCATTGCCAGTGGCGGTGATAACATCGGAAGGAGAACAAATCCCGGATAAAGTTTACCTAAATCAAAGAATGCAAAGACCAGAGCAATACGTGCCACAGGTGATCCAGTGCTCTCGTTGTCAAAAAGCATGGCACTCCCGGGCCACTTGTGTGAGCGAACATGAAGTATGCCGATACTGTTCACAACCCCATGCCTTCAACAATTGCCCGCTGGCAAAGCTGGACACAGACTTTAGGTCTCCCAATCCGAACAGGAAGTGCGCAAACTTCTACGGCCAGCACAGCACCAGATACCTGGGGTGCCCCTATCTGCAACAATGCAGAGAAATAGCAACCACGGCCATACGGGAAAAGATTCCATACCATGAGGCCCGCAGAAAACACGAAGCAACCCAAGGCATAACTGCAGCCATTACCACCAAATTGAGCAACGAGGTGGCTCAACTCAAAAGTGACATCCAAGCTCTCAGAGACGAGAAAGAAGCATCCAAATCCCAACGAGATGAAGACAGAGATGAAATAACAGGCTTGAGAGCTATAATGCAGGCGAATCTTGACACCCAGAAACGGATGACAGCAGAGATGACGAAATTCAAGGAGGACATCATGAATGCACTGGCCACTATCCAGACACAAAAGGAACAACCAACTAAAGCAAGGGAAGACGAGGCGGGCATCAATGATCTGCGGGATAACCAACAACTGCTCGCGAAAGAAGTCGCAATGATCAAGAAGGCACTAGCTGAAACAGAGGAAAAGTTACGTAGAGCATACGAAGAAAACAACAGACTTAATAAGGAACTGCAAGCAACCAACAGAGTGATGGAAGAAAGAGAGAAAGCACGGAAAGAGGCAGCAAGAAGGCAGCAAATACAGGGAGCCGAGACCCAGAAAAAGCCACATCAAACACCAGATAAGAAAACACCAACGCCGCTGATGAAACAATTTCCGGTCGAAACTACTAATCAAATAAACCAACGCATCAGGGAGCTGGAGGATCCGAACTTCTTTAACTCAGAACTGCAAGATGATGATGTTCTATGGTCATCACCAGAGGAACCATATCGACAGCCAAAACCTGAAGCCAAACAAGGTCGACACCGTTACCTCAAACACTAATACCAGATACGACACAACCAAGGCCAAAATTACCGAAACCCTATGTAGGAGAAGTACTTTACAACAAGGATACGAGAAAATCACCAAATAATACCAGACCTCACCAGTATTGCCATCAGTACCTGCCCAAGTCAATCAACCGCCGTCCTTCTTAGGATAGGCAATTTACTTTCCCCGGAAACAACAAACAGCCAAGGAATACCACAATAAATCGATTCAACACACAATCATCTGGAGCGCAGCACAGGGCCAGCCAAATTACAAAAGCAACAGCAAGAGCGGAAACCACAACAAATAGAAAGCGACAAATATTGAACACAATCCAAAACCAAATGAGATCGAGACCAGAAACGTCACCACAAATATAGCTGAAAGGAAAGTGAGCAGAAATGTGAGCGGACCTAGCTGAAAGTGGTCAACGAAAGAGAATTTGAATTTGAAACAGTATGGATGGAAGGCGAAAGGAAGTCCAAGAAAGATTCTGAATGAATGCGTGGCAAAATCCTATAAAATGATAAACAAAACAATCACTCAAATCATCCGATAAGCACAAAACAAACAAACAACCACCACTCTAGTGGGGTAGATTTTCTCAGGATAATGCAAGTCTTCGAAATGCGCTCCTACTAACTTCTTGCTGTCAGACCAAAAAGTTTAAACCGTAATATGATTTCGCTGCTTATATAGGCCCAACAACCTCCCCTCATTACGGTGCCGCCTGATGCAGCCGAATTTCAATGACAACCACGACGCTAGGCTACAGCTCAGTAGTTCGACATCAAAGGAGTAAAGAAATAAAGAACTCAAAGCAAAAGAAAAATATGGATAGACGGCATTGCTGAATCTTGCAAGAAAATTAACAAAACTATCACTCAAGTCACCCGAAAAGAGCATGATAAGTAACCACGACACTGGGCTTCAGCCAGGTACAGTGCGACAACAAAAGAATCCAATTGTTGATTATTTTTGTTTAAACCTATTTCTCTGCATATTTCGCTGTATCTCGTCAGATGAATGCAACAGTAACAATTGATTTAAATAAAGCAAATAAATTATTGCTTCTAAATGAAAAAAAAAATCGATTACATGCACAAAATACTGCTTCTTTTACTAGGGCAACTGCAGATAGATGACCATGCCCTTTTGTCTGCATAGCTCTGAGCAGAACTGCTTTATAACCATTGCTTCAATCACGGCCATCTTTAGCTATAAATAGGCCAACTGGGTCAACGGGCATTCCCGTTCTTGTGCAAGAATTGAGTCCCTCGGTGTTAACAGTTTTTATTGAAGAGATGTATACACAAATTAAACTACAGTTTCATTATTTTTCTACATATTTTATAAAACTATACGTCATTTTTAAGGTAAATAAGTGTGCCGAATAAATATAACAATAAAGGCTCTTACAGACAAACAAAAATGCTTTTGCTACAGTCAACATGAACATAAACATCAATAACGTTTAGATGAAAACTAAAAGTTGTTCCAGCAAAAGTAAAGAAATATCAGTGCTAACTCTTTGATTCTGAGAGGGTATTCTTGCATCAGAGGAGCGGGGGGGGGGGGAGGGGGTGACATTTGTACTTTATCAAATTTAGCGCATACAAATACTGCTATGAAGTGAAAGATACACATATCATACATAACATAAATATAAATAATTGATGGTTATTATTATTAGTAGTAGACTACTACAACATATAATTATACTGTTATTTAATAATTAGTAAACAAGCACAATCAGTATGAAATTGATATGTGCAATACTTTTTTCACCCAGAGTAGTTTTCTTAACAGTACTTATAGCACTACTAAATATGTATCCTCAAGGTACAAACAGCACAAACAAATTTGTCCAGTTTCATCTTGTTGGATGAAATCAATTCCTTACCATTGCGAATTTTTTGGTAAATATGCATAGGAAGTGGATGAACAACCAGAAGTTTCCGCAAGAGTTTACAGCCAGTGTTCGCGAAGCAAAGCAAAAGCCAGTTTACAAAAATTAACACAGACCGTTATTTTGCAAATATGCAAAATAAGTCGATGAACTACCAGAAGTTTCCGCAAGAGTTTACAGCCAGTGTTCACGAAGCAAAGCAGAAGCCAGTTTACAAAAATTAACAGACCGTAGAACTGCAAACATGCAAAAGAAGTCGATGAACTACCAGAAGTTTCCGCAAGAGTTTACAGCCAGTGTTCGCGAAGCAAAGCAAAAGCCAGTTTACAAAAATTAACAGACCGTAGAACTGCAAACATGCAAAAGAAGTCGATGAACTACCAGAAGTTTCCGCAAGAGTTTACAGCCAGTGTTCGTGAAGCAAAAGCCAGTTTACAAAATCTAGAGTTGGCGGTGGTGTGTTTCTATGGGAGCCGCCGTAGTCTAGCGGCTAGACGGTCGCCTGTGGATTGGAAGTTCGTGAGTTCGGGTCTTGACGGGGGTCGGACTTTTTTCAAAAATGACCTTGGCTCCCAGGTCGACCCAGCCTCTAATGGGGACCAGGTACATACAGTCTTGGGATGTAAAAACGGCCGGCGTGATGCTGTTCACATCGCCCACCAAGTGCCGTTTGATCAATACAATATAGGTCAAGCCCTATATACCCAATACGCATGAGGGCATGGAAAAGAGTCGTTTACTTACTTTTACTTGTGTGTTGTTTTTACAGACTGCAATCCTGGAAGAAAAAGACATGCCTACCCTTTATTTTACATTATCATCCTCTGTCACATAATTAGGCAGAAATTGGTGGCGGCCCATCTGGGCTTTTCTGCGGCCCATCAGTAGGCCGTGGTCCATAGGTTGAAGAACACTGGTGTAGAGAATTCGACACGTATCGTCCTAGTTAGCAATGTGCCCAGAATTCAAAAGGCGGCTCGCATTGGATGACGGATGATCTTCTAGGGGAGGACCCAAACGAATATGGATCGAAGAAGTCACTGATACCTTGAGACTACACAACATCTAGCATACAGGGCAACTGAGCGTGCCCTGGTCCGGAAACCGATCATCTGCTGACCTGTGACGCATAAAGCAGGTTAAAGATTAAAGTCGAGAGGACCGGCTTTATTGCATCGGGTTTCATCTCATATGGCAGTCTCTCTCCGCAGAACGGCTAGCCGCCTACTACGAGTGCGGCGGAGAGCACGAACTCCCTGGCTTCGGCGGCGATCCCCAGGGATCTCCGTAAAAATTGTATTCGTGAACTGAAGGGCGCAGCTGTGAAACGAACCCACGACCTTTAGAGTGCGAGGCAAACGGCTTGACCACTTTGCCTCGGGGACCCCCAGCGGCACAAAGCATAACATTCGCTTGAAATAGATAATCTATATTTGCAGTGTTTTCTCTAGTATAAACTTCACTGTCTGTTGTAATTCACTTCAGCGACCAGTAAAGTTTGGCTTGCTCCGGTGTTTCTCTTAGCCAAACAGTTTGCCTTGATATGTCGTATTTGAGACAGTCTTAGAGGACGAGATCTGTTGTCTCAGGTGCCAATTTACATGGCTGATTTGTCAATCTTAAATGTTGTGCACATGTGGCTGCGAAGTCGACTGTGTCCTCTTCTAAGGTGTAGAAAAATAACTTAATTTTGTCTGTCCTTAATATGGTAATCGTCTTGTGCCGGTTTTGGTTGCTTTCTGATTGATTTGATGATTCTCTTCTTCTGTTGATAAGAGACTGTTACGTCAAGTTGTTCTTCATTTGTACCTTCCTTAGCTAGTTTATCAGCTTTTTCATTTCCAGAACTCCACAGTGGAATACACCAATACACAAATAAGACAAGAATCCAGGCAAGAGTATGTGTCTAATTTTATACGAAAACGCCGCTGGAACTATGTCGGCCACGCCCTTAGAATGGATAAATCAAGACTTCCTTACCAAGCCCTCATTTGGACACCACAGGGGAAAAGATCTCGTGGAAGACCAAGGGAAACCCTACGTAGAACTATCATCAGGGAAGGCTCGCTCATGGGCCACTCAAACATCCAAGACCTACAACAGATTGCAACGAACCGCCATGCATGGAGAGTCATGACCTCTGCCCTATGTGCCGCACTCGACACAAGAGGAAAGACTAACCAACCAACTAACTAACTAACAGTGGAATGGCATCCATTGCATAGTTACCTGACACCGGCTGCCTAGTTTGGAGAGTAGTGTTCTTATACCAGGTAATTTTTCAGACTGAAGTGCCTGAAGTACCTACCGCTCTTGCATCTGTCAGGAATACCACAAGTTGTGAAATATGATGTATAACAGTTTTTCTGCTGCTATTATGATGGCTTGAACTTCTGCATCATAGTTGTTACAATGCTTTCCGTAGGTATTTTGGCTGTATATCTGGTATTATTTGGATGCTCAATATACAATCCTGCTGTATTTCGTTGTTCACTGTTTTGTTATTCCTTGTCGAATACCCCTTTCACTTCTGTCTGGATGTGTATTGGCAACTCATAATCCTATTTCCAAGGGGTCGGATCTGGAATAGCATTTAAGTGACTGTCAGTTGCAGGCAGATCATTGGTTGCCTGAGGAGTTGTTGGGCCTGGTCGACGAAACTGCTTCTTTTTAGCCGCTTCATTGCTAGATTTTGGAATCTTTCTTTCATATGGTGTTCAAGCATGCTAAGAAACTTGTCTGCTTGTATTAGTATCTGGGTGTCTCTGTGTTCTGTCAGTGTCAGGGTCATCGCCATCTTCTCCATCACAGCTATTGATGTTGATTTCATAGTGCCTGAATTTGCAACTTGTCTAACTTTTGTAGTGTAGCTTTTTTATGGTGAACTCCATGCAGTTAACCCGTGTTCAAGGTGTGGTCGTACACCTTTGTTAATTAACTTTTTAAAGTATTTTCCTATTTGCGCTCCATGTTGTTCCACTTAGTTTTCTAAGGATAGCTGTCTTCCTTCTGACTTTGGTTGCTGCCTTATTGATGTGTTTTCTCCATGTTAACCTGTCATGAAATGTGACTCCGAGGCATGTGGGCTCCTTAACCTCTCTTAGTGGTATTCCATTTATCTGAGTGACGCCTGATTTTTTTGTTCTGGGGAGAGGTTGAAGAGGGTAGTGCTACACTTGTCTATGTTGATACCAACACACCATTTATTAGCCCATGCAGCCGTGGCATCTATGGCTCTTTGTAGCAGTCGAGTGGTCACTGTTGCGTATTTATTTGTGCACCAGAGTACCAAGTCATCAGCATACTTTGCAGATTTAATTCCATGGGGTAGTTTAGCAATCAGGTCATTGATATAGACTAGAAAGAATGTGGGGAACAGGACACCACCTTAGAGAACACCAAGTCGATCAAGACTTTCTTGCTTTTGAGTCCGTCTATTTGTACTCGGGCCCTTCTGTTACACAAGTATGCTTTCGCCCATCTATACATATTCCCATTCACTTTGTAGTTTCTCAGTTTCTTCATGAGAACGTCTTTCCAGACCTTGTCAAAAGCTTTCTTCAGATCTATCCATACCACAAGCATTAGGATCTCTTCTTGGAAGGCATCTTCAATTTCTTGAGAGAGGTAAGTTGTCTGGTATTTTGCGGAGAAACAATGCCTAAAGCCTGCCTGCTGCGGGATGAAGATGTTTTTATTTTCCATGTACCATTGAAGTCTAAGGTTGACAATGCGTTCCATTGTTTTACAGAGACAAATAGTAAGGCTGACTGACAAGTGAATCTCTTATCTTTTTGTCAGATTGACTCGTAATAGTTTGTAATTCCTTATTTTTTGACAACTTTCGCAAGAGGACATAACTCTCAGAGAACGGAACGCTGGAGGCAATTTTTACGTCGTTGTGTTTGGAATGAATTTTGTCAGTAAGACAGATCTAGAAACAAATAGTTCTCTAACATTTGTGCAAAAATGGAGATGTTTGAAGCACACAACGAAGGCCCAGGTTTTGTGGGTATTCGGTTCTGTAAAGAATGGTAAGTTCAAAGTAACAAAAAAAAAAAAAAAAACTCTACGGTCTTGGTAAGTCTCGCGACGGAATTATATTAATTATTTATTATTATTATTAACGTTTGAAATTAAATTTAATTAATTAAAGTAATTTTTTCAACCAACAAGCAGCAGTCAGAATAGATGGAGAGACATCAGACTGGTTTGGCATCAAGCAAGGAGTCCGTCAGGGATGTGTGCTGTCACCGTATTTGTTCAACCTGTACGCCGAAAATATAATGAGAAATGTAAGAGATGATATAAACAAGGAACAATATGATGCCCTAAACATCGGTGGTCATGAAATACCAGAAATTCGTTATGCTGATGATACAGTATTACTTTCAACATCACAAAATGGTTTAGAAAACTTATTAACCTCACTCCAAAGAAATAGTGAAAATCATAACTTATTTCTTAACATAGCAAAAACAAAGATAATGCATAGAAACAAAACTGCCATGGAGAAGGAAATATATGTTAATAAGGAAAGATTGGAAGTGGTGGAAAATTTCGAATATCTAGGGTCACTGGTTACCAACAATGGTGACACAATGAAAGAAATTAAACGGCGACTATCAATTGCTCTTCAAAGACTAAAACAACTGAATAAATTATGGAATTGTACAGATAGAATTACAAAGGTCAGATTTTTAAGAGCATGCATCTTTCCCATTGCAACATACGCCTGTGAGACCTGGACAAAGCGGAAAAGCGCATAAATGCATTTGAAAATAAATGTTACAGACAGGTTCTAAGAATATCTTGGGTAAAGAAAAGAACAAATGCATCCATACTTCAAGAGCTGAATATTGAAGAGGGTTGGCTAGTAAAGACAATAAAACAAAGAAAATTGAAATATTTTGGTCGCTTGAAACGTCATGGAAGTCTAGAGAGAACAATAATGGAGGGGTATATGCCTGGGAAGAGAGGAAGAGGAAGGCCAAGGAGAAGATGGGTGCAGGATGTGGCAGATGATCTCCAGATGGGTGTATCAGACGCAGGACATCTTGCTCATGATAGGAAGGTTTTCCGGAGGGTTGTTATGGCAGTGAGGTTCCGCGAGGGACATGCTACTGAATGAATGAATGAATTTTTTCAAATAGTTCAGGTATAGTAAGTATTAAATGAAAATTTCATAATTAGATACAGCCACCAGAATAAAATTAATGGTACCTGATTTCGAATATCTACATAATTCAGCTGAGAAGTGTACAATTTTGCTTGGTCCGAGGGAGATCAAAGAAGAGGGAGGTATCGGGGTGTTGCCACATAAATATAAATATTGCAAAAGTGCGTAATAGTAAAAAGCTCTCACCCCTGACGAATATATAAATTAAATGGACCCTTTTTTAAATATGCGTAACTACTTATGTAGTTTTAATCGTAATCACATTAACAACTATGATATATTGGGCGCTCCTTTGACTTGTTCCCCAAAATGGCGGCTTTAATATGATAGCGTTCGAAAGAGAGCTAAATTGGCCAATTTCTTGCCATTAAATATCCACAAATATCCGAATTCGGGTCAGTTCTATTAAAAATATATGTGCCGGCTCCGGATAACGAAACAAATGCTCTGACAGGGTCTCGGCGATACAGTGCTTGCCGACCTGCTTCTGCGAGTGTGCCTCACCGCCGAGCGTATCCCCCACGCCGCTACGCGCGGCGCGGATGGGGGCTAAACTAGATGGCTGGGACTCACGAGTGGCAGCTACCGCATCTCCTGCAACTTCCTCCAATTACTGTACTTGTGAGTCCCAGGCACCTAGATACGCTCGGCGATGAGTTTAATCGCGTTTGGCGCATGCCAACAAGTCTGACATCTACCGCTGCTAAATCCTCCAATCGGAAGTATTGCTAATCGCTTTCATCGTCTGTAATGTCTCGAAATTGGTCAACGGTCGCTAATATCGTCTGCTAGTATCATCGTCTGCAGAAACGCTCGACATTTTTGTCAACGGTCGGTATTTATCGTCTGCTACTAGTACCGTGTGCAATGTTGATAGTGACTGTCACGTAATCCTAGTGTTGCCGCGATTATTTGTCCCTTGGCAGACAGTCCGTATTTTAGATATATGGGAACACCGTCGTTCGGATATTTTTAGATATTTTATGGCCAACATGTGGCATGCCGCCATTTTGGGGAACAAGTCAAAGGAGTGCCATATATTGTATAGTTTAAGTATCTACTCTTAAAGTCATGTTTCAGTCTGAGAACCCCGGAAGCCTCCCTCTTCTATCTATTTTATAACATCATCTCCAGATATCCGTTATGCATAGGATTTCATTACATGCAAGTTCCCTGGATCTGTAGCGTGGTACCTACTGAACTTGTTATTCAAGTATTTTATCAAGGTTTTTTCCTAGGAAGAACAGTTGTGTTGCCAGTACTCACCACAAAATATCTTTAAAACAAAAGTGTGGTACTCGGTTCTCCTTAAAACTAGGGCCACTTATTATTGAGTACGGTGGAGTTCAGTCTCCTGGCCGCATTGCAATTACGGAGTGGAAAAGAGGGAACGACACAAATGACGTAATTACTGTGTGTTAGCGATAGACAGCGTGAACCGATGAGGTTATTACTGTGTGTTGGCGATAGATGCTCTGCTGTCATAATAGGGTATTGGTGCTCCCTAAAACTACGGCCACTCCTAACCCTACCCCTAACCCAAACCCTAACCCTATCCCTATTATGACAGGAGTGCATCTATTACCAACACAGTAATTACGTCATTTGTTTCGTTACCTTTTGTCCACTCCGTAATTGCAATGCGGCCAGGGGACTGAACTCTGCCGTACTCCATAATAAGTGGCCGTAGTTTTAAGGAGAACCGTGGTACTCGCTATTCAGTATCTCTTACAGTAGTGCTGAAAAAAGATACCTATAAAACAAATGTCCACCAGCATCGCACGCATTAAACGCAATTACACGATGCCGGTACTCAGCACACAGTGTCGGTATGTCTCATAAATATTATAAACGCATTCTAAACTGTCGTGATGTTGACCACAGCCGATTGGTCTATAAAAATTTGTCTAGCCTTTTATGCCCGATGTACCTTTGGCATGTAAAGAAGGGACCTTTCCTTTACTTATTTACTTAACATTGTAAACTAAAACATTTCATGGGGGATTTAATAGTTTCTTCTTAAAGTCCATGCCATCTGGCTTTGGATTCGTTGGACCAGAAGGCGCAGATATCGCAGCCTAGTTGTAAACCACAAAATAAACCACCCTTTCAAGGGACGAGGACGATGAAGAAGACAGTCTTTTGTGAGACTTGAAGATTTTGTATAGGATGCGAGAATTGATAAACCAATACTGATCTTGAATTATTAGTTATCACAGGCTGTCAGAGAAAAGTACAACGGAAACTCAGGATACAAATGTACCTGGATATGAGTTTCTCATGAAATGAGGTCAGGCTCACCAGTTGTTTTGTTCCCCAGAATAGGAGATGACATCCAGGATGCTAGACGAGAGCTCTCGGTATTACCCAACAGCATCTTGATAACTTTTAGTAGTTTAAGTTTATGAGTTATTCACCTTACGAACTCAGTGATCCGGTGGATTGAATTCATGTCTTGAGGTTGCACTGTATTTTAACATTGTTTTCTTGAATGTGTGTCCCCAGTGCAGAAACTGTGATTACCAACAGGAGGCAGACAACAGATGCATCTATGTGAACAAAATCATGCACGAAGTCGAGTAAGTCTTTGTTGACCATTTTTTTTTTCAAATCAATACAGAATTTTTTTTTTTTTTCAAATAAAAGCTTATATATTAACAAATCATTTTCTGTTGGAACAGACAGACAGATAAATAAATAGGGAGATAGAAGTTTAGATATGATAAGATAGATAGATACCTGTTTCTCAAAAAAAAAGGCCAGGTCTGAAATAATTTTGTTTTTCCAATTTTATTTGGGAAATAAAATATTTATATAATCATTTATTTAAAATATTACCACCAGTTTATTTTTATATCCGTTACTTTATAACTCAATACATCCATCGTGTATTTCAACAAATAAAATCTGTCCGTCTGGTAGGCGATCTTAACTGGGGCTTAATTTGGGGTAAGACTTTTTTAATGAACATCCTGGAAAATCAAACCAGGGCTTCTGTCAGTTTAGATCTTATATTCAGGGAAACACTGTAGGTAAGTAAATGGATGGAAAGATATGTAGATATAAAGGATAGATAGATATACGACCCTCAGTATAACTCTCAGCATAAAGTGACGTATGTTTATTTTATTGTTGTCCTTTATTATCCTTATTAAGCATAGGCCCTCAACTAACTTCTGTCTAACCCATTTGTACATGTGTCCATGATTGTTGGGTTTTTACACCTAGTTTGTTTTATTGGACGATGTAACTAGTCTCACACCAGACAAGAATATAGCAGCTCTGATGTCAGAGAGAGCCAGTCAATATTGGTTGGACATATTAGAATGAATGAATGGCCTGGAGAGAATGAGGCACCTGGGTGTGACCAGAGGATCTGGCCGGCTGACTACACTCAGAGGAAAGGCAAGACGGACATTTAACCAGATTGTGACCGGTAACATCAGTATGGAACTCTGCGCTGGCTGCTGAAGATAAGGACGGAGCATGCATGGGAATGCCCCGAGTGCTGTGATGTCAATTCTTGACTCAACTCAACTCAATTAGAATAAATGGACTTGAAAAAAGACAGTTCACATAATGATGATGAGTTCTAATGTTGTCAGATTGATTAAAGGCTCTTTTAACCTGCTGCCTGTGGGATAAAGCTTCACAAAGAGGAGTGAAACTTAGTTTCCTGTTTTGTGCTAGTTGCCGAGCTTTATGAGGTTTGAGGTTTGAACAACGGATTAACATCATGGCACACGGGTTCTAACCCATTAGTGCTCCGTTCTTCTAACTCAAGTCTGAGTTCGAAAGAGCTCAGCACAGTGTACAGGCTCTGTCGCACCAGCGAGAATCCTGAAATACTTTGGATAGGTTTGTAACTCCAAATTTTGAGCGGGCAGCGCCGTTAGGCTACTCTTTTTTAATTTCCAACTGCCATGGGATTTTTTTAACCTGCTAAACAATGCCCACAGGCATCCAGTCTCACTACCCAGAGACCAGGGGGAATTACTAGAAGTCCAGGTGAAAAAATCCCAGCCCTTACCAGGAATTGAACCCGGAATTCTAGCACTCAAGGCGGACACCATGCAACGAGACCACGCAGCCACCTGCCTAGCTTGTATTAAGGTTATAGTGCATTTCTGTAGTGTCTCTTTTACTCCCTCCACCCAACTCTTTCTTGGTCGGCCTCTCGCCATGTGGCCTGCTATTTTTATGATGTGCACTGATTTTCCATCCTGACCAGATGACAAAACCATTTGATTCTTTGATGTCCTTTGAAATCATTTACGGGGTACTATACCTATCAGTGTTCTTAGTTCATTGCTGCCGGTGTCTCTTTTTGTTTTTCCCGCCGTATTTCTTATAATCTCATCTCACATATTTTTATTTTGCGTTAATGTTTTTCTGACACTGTTAGCACAAAATTGGTTTGAATGGTGTATTGTTGTTTTGTTTGTGCATGTTAATATATTGATGCCTTTAAAGTGGCGTTGTTTTGTAATTTATGCTGTGTGCTTTCTGTATTCTGTTTTCTATTTCTCTGTCCAGACCTCCGTCCTCAGAAAATACATTGCCTAGTTACTCAAACTCCTTAGCTTGTTTTAATATCTCTCCTTCAACACTGATGTTCTGTTTACTGTTGTTTTCCCTCCCACAGTATTTTTTTGATAAATAATGTGATGAAAGGATAGCAGTTTGTAATGTGGTGACTTGAATGTTTCAGTGAGCTGACACAAATTGTTGGTGATGTGGTGACTTGAATGTTTCAGTGAGCTGACACAGATTGTTGGTGATGTAATTGCTGACCCGACCCTGCCCCGTACAGAAGATCACCCGTGCCCCAAGTGCTCTCACAGAGAGGCCGTCTTCTTTCAGTCTCACAGTACCAAGGCAGAGGTGAGCTGAGCCTCATTGTTAGGATACTCACCTACAGATTCGCAGCAACAAACTTTCATTTTGACTGCAACTGAGGAAAAGGGTTGTATATTTGGCAACTGGTAAACAAAATATAATATAGCCACCATGCTGTAGCGGCTAGATGCTCACCAGCAGATCTGAAATTCATGGGCTTAGATCTTGATGGTGAGAGACAACGGGTGTAGGGTGATTTGAAGACCTAGGAAAATATGGAGTGATGGCATTAAGAACAGCCTTACAGAAATTAACATCAGTCTTAATAGTGCTCTTAACAGAGCTCATCAACGTACATTACATCTCCCCCTAACACTTCGATGAGGTACAAGGTGGAAAAGAAGAAGGTCTTGATGGAGCCAGGCTGTTTTTTTAAATATTTTTTTTAACAACATTGGCTCCGAGGTCGATCTAGCCTTAAATGGGAAATAGTTAAAGTCTTTGGAAGTAAAGATGGCCGGCGTGATGTAGACCACATCACCCATCTAGTACTGATTGGTCTATAAAGTCTAGCCCTGTATGGCTGAGGGTGTGGGAAAAAAGTCCTTAACTGAAAAAAAAAAATAAAGATAAATAAAATCTCAACGTGCATATTTTGAGGCAACTGGGAAGCCGAAAAATTGGCACTTCCGGTTGGGTCCAATTCTCTGTAAATGTCACTTTTCAGAATTGTCTTTTATGGCCTGTTTACGAAAGGTATTGTTAATGCTTTTGGCTGTTTTCCTGTGCAAACATATAGGCGGTCAGGATATGAATACATTAACTAGTAAAAGCATACAGGAAGGTTTTCCTTTGAGCTAAATGACATTTTTAAAGCCAGTGAGTGTGACATCAGTTTCCTGTAAGCTTCAGTGATAGAGGTCACTGGGTCAAGTCATGAGTCACCTGATACATATGGGGCAGGCTTTTAAAAAAATGCCCCTGAGGATATTTTCCATTTAATGCTTCACTATGTCCATGTTTGTGAAATACTTCTGACCTATTTTTATTAGTGTTCCCATGACGAAAGAGTTCAGTCTTCAGGCTGATGACCTTCTTGTCCCACATTTCAGTAGAAAAAAAAAAGTTAAAAGATATTCCCATACAAATACAACTATTGGGATGTGAAGTGTTCAGATATGAGCTGGGGACCTTCCCAAAAAATTCTAGAAATTATTTGTAATAGACAGACAAACATGTATTGATCGGCACTCTTAAATAGGAGTAGAAGGATAGAAGGACAAGACTAGGCAACAGAAAAATATAGTGTATCCGTGTCAAGAAATTATCTGGTGTACATTTTAGGTAAGAGTGGGTCGACCTCAGAGCCAGAAAAAACAAATGCTGCCACATCTGGGGGTTGAATCCAGACCTGTCATGTCATGTCAGACCTGTGCATACATTAACCTGGATGTCAGAACAACTGGTTACATTCTTACTGAGCCAATCCCCATGTATTTTCCAGGGCCCCTTTGGGGGGAGAATAGAGCCACTGCCCCTCTATCAAGTATGTCATGTCATGTCAGACCTGTGCATACATTAACCTGGATGTCAGAACAACTGGATAGATTCTTACTGAGCTAATCCCCATGTGTTTTCCAGGGCCCCTTTGGGGGGAGAATAGAGCCACTGCTCCTCTATCAAGTATGTCATGTCAGACCTGTGCATACATTAACCTGGATGTCAGAACAACTGGATAGATTCTTACTGAGCCAATCCCCATGTGTTTTCCAGGGTCCCTTTGGGGGGAGAACAGAGCCACTGTCCCTCTATCAAGTATGTCATGAAAGGCAACTAACTAGGGTTGTTTCCTCTCAAGTGCAGCCATATCTGTAAAGGGAGTCAATGTGGCGGAGCGGCTAGACGCTCGCCGCGGATCAGAAGGTCGTGGGTTCACTCCCTCTGGTGGAGCCGGACTTTTTTTCAAAAAATTACCTTGGCTTCCAGGTTGACCTAGCCTTGAGTGGGTACCGGGTGCAGTCCCGGGAAGTAGAGGCGGCCGGCGTGATGCTGACCACATCACCCATCTTGTGCCGATTGGTCTGTAAAATATAGGTCTAGCCCTATACGCCTAAAGGCATGTAACAGGGTCCTTTACTTTTTTACCATTACATATCTGTAAAACGACTGTGTTGTTTGTCCATCACAAGTGATGAAGACCACTTTTATCAAAAGTGATAGCTGGGTGACAGTGACTTGTGCAAGGACTTGGATTCAAGTGAAGAAGAGTTGCCCAATTTGTCGACCTCATTCTCTCGCCTGTGTCCATCTTGATCCAGTGGCAGGACAATGTCAAGACGAATGGATGTGTACGCAAAACTCAAGTGCATATCCATTTTAGAGATATAGCTTATGTGTATGTAGTTGGTTCCTCAACTCTGAGTTGGATGTACTCTGTCACTTCGAATTAAACAACCATAGTTAGTTGCTTTTTATTACATGTTAAGGGGGATGGGGACCCGTCACCCTCCAGTTGTGTCCAGGAACCCATAGCAAGATTTTAAGTACAAATTATTAGGAGAGCCATGTATATATTTTTGTTTTATTTTTGTCATCTTCTAGGAGGGTATGCGACTGTACTACGTATGCACCAACGCTCAGTGTATGCATCGATGGACCGAGTGACCAGCCTCATTATGCCTAGTACTTTATTATTTTACGTGGTCACCTTGCATTTCAGCATTGTTGGATCAATTCACTTTGGCCATTGTCATGCTCATATTTTGTCATGTTTTACTTTTAATAAACATGTTGCAAATTCACCATTTTTTTTGTTTTTTGGTTTTCTCAGTATGGTTTCTGAGGAAATTTTCTTCTTGTTTACCAGCTGTAAACTCCGGTAGAAAGTTCTGGGTGATCGCCCGCTTCCAGACTTTAGTGATCTTCCAGAACCTGAATGTTGCGTGCACACCCATATTACAGATCTGACTCGTGTGCATGCAGATTGTTGGTTCTTTGCCTCTCAGGCAGATGCACTCTGACTTTGAAGCAAGCTTCCAATTAGTCGACTATTTGCTTTTTGGGAGGCAGTGGGACTATCATGTTTTCCCCACAATGGGGCCCCAGAATCCAAATGGGGGAGGGAATAACTATTAAAAAAAAAAAAAATCAACAGCAAGCAACACACAATTATGAAAACCACAAAAATAAAAAAAAAAATTAAGAATGAAACAGGACTTGGCAACAGTGAAGTGTTATCGCATATATTTATTTGATGAATACACGAATCAGTCATAAAATGCTTTCTTCATTTACTAGTTTCTGAATTGCTTTCCAAATCTTTTGTCTTAATTACCAGGAATATATTACGCCATATGCCAAAATACAATTCTGTCGACAAATTATGGCCCCAAACTTTTTTTTTTGCTAAATAATTTTATACTGTGTGTACTATAAAAGAAAGTTTGCAGGACAAGAGATAAATTTACACTGTAACATAAAAAGGACTCAAACCCTGTACCCCTTCAAATTCTCAGCCACTGCTTCTCTCAAAATACTTTACCATTTCAACTTTGTATTACAGGCAGCAGCTAGATAAATACAATTGTCATATCAAGCATGTTACACACAGTAATAATAATAACATGGAAGGCAGCCACTTCATGCAAACTGCAACTCACATTTCTGTTCAACAGTAAGTTAAAAAAAAAAATGTCAACTGTTGCGTGTCTAAGTTTTGGAACATTAAAAGCACTCATTTGTCTGTAAGACTTACTTTCAAACTGAACTGCTTGCTGTTAAATTAACTGTTCTTCAAACCAGTTTTTGGGGTGAATTGTTACTAAGATACAACGAATACATTGGTCCTTAGAATGTGCATGAATTATAAATATAGACTACAAAGAAAACCAAAGAATCAGCAAAACCAGTCGGCTGAAATGAAGTTCTGCCCAGATAAACTGTCAGCGCCTGTGGATTAGGTGTTGCGAACGTGCTTCGTAATGCCGGAGTGCTGGATTCGATCCCAGCTGCAGACGATTTGTCTTGCGTTGGTTTCGACAGTGGTACAAAGAGCTGACCGCTCACAATGCAATGGAAACTACTGAACGTAAAATTTGCTTAGAAAACCGCAACAGCCAAAATATGCTAACTGTTAACAGATAAACTTCCACTGTAAATGTGAAAATTAACAGAAAGGATGCTTTATCAGGCCAGTGGCACAGAAGGCTAGCCAGACTCATATTTTGTAGAACATTCTCAGCACTCAAGAGATGATATGGTTGGTCAACAACCCGCCAGACACCGTTACTTCCCAGGGCATTACCCGATACCCATTTGAGGCTGGTTTGACCTGGGAGCCACTGCCACTTGGACCTTCTGACTCAGTGAACCCAATACCTTTGGGCCAGCGGCTGGAGATCTAGCTGCTGTTCATCAATACAAGTCTGTACAAGCTGTACAAGACATTACAACGGGATCAAATCAACTTTACAATATGACTAGCATGTCCGACAGCAGGATCACAGATACTAGACAAATAATGAAATTAAATTTAAAAAAAAAAAGCACAAAACATCTTGAAGAAACATCGTGAAAAGCTAACGGTGCCCCTAAATTATTCTTGCCAGGTAGTCATAATTGTACGTTTCCTCCAGTATAAAGAGGCAGTAATCAATCAACACTAATACGATTAAGCATGAAACAATATATATCAGGTCACTCATGCCAAGACCTCGATCACTGAGGCTACGGGAAGTTAATTATGTTAACTTGGCTCTAAAAAGCCATTCACAAGGAAATCCACCATCCTAAATTCTATTTTTAGCACCTATAATCCTATCCTGACCTTCTAATTCCTAAATGCTGCACAGGTGCGAACTTGGGCTAAGAGCATTAAGTAAGTATGCGCCTCGTAAACACGTCACTCTAGAGAAGTTTGAAAAGTGACATTTATGGGGAACTGGCTTCACATGCAAGTGTCAGTTTTGCAGCTTCTCGGAGTGCCAAGAGTTGATTTAGCAGTGGCTATTTAGCTACGTGGGGAACACTGTGTTTAGACACACGTATCATGTAAGCAGTAACCAGAGTAACTATAACAAGTTCATTGGTACTGAGTTCATCTTCCCTGTGCGGGAACCCATTCTGGGGAGAAAGAGGAAACTGACCCAATTTCCCCTAATAACCACATTATAGAAAGCAAAGAAGGGTCAGGGCTCCCTGAAATTGGACGCGTTGGGCCGAATGGCGCAGATATTGCAGGCTAGCTGTAAACCACACACAGAACGTACCAGCCACCCTTCTAGAGGCGAAAGTGGAAGAAGAAGAACACGAATGTGTCAATGAGATTCCCCAGTTCTAACTTCTGTCGTCACTGCCAAATTTACCACGTTTTAGCGGTCAGGGGTATCAAGCCAGAGGATTTGTGGCTAGTGCAAACTCCACGAACAGTGCAGGTCAGTTTTTTAAAATAGTCTCCTGGTCCCCCCCCCCTCATTTCTGTAAGACATTTAAAAAGTTACTGAAAGAGAAAAAAGAAAATAAAAGAATTACATTTTGGTCACATTTAAAGACAACACTTTTAAAAACAATACTGGGGAGAAAAGTTGAGGGCAAAAGAGTAAAAGGTAGACAATGATACAAGAGGAAAGATAACATCAAGAGATGGACCAACAGCAGTGTGAGAGAGTATACAAGCAAGACAAGAGAGAAGGCATGTAAGAGATTCATTGCAACCAATCTTCACTGAAGACAACATCTAACAGATTGATTTATATTTCTGTACGACTGAAGTTAAGCAAAACTGGACATCTGAAACGTCAATGACCTGAACATTTTGAAACAAGAAAAATCACAAAACAGCATCATTCCACGCTGAAATAAAGCATTAAACAATAAAAATAAAGCAAAAAAATTGGTTCTTGTAAGTTAGCATGATCTTTTCAGAAAAATAATTCTAGGAAAATAAATTTTATCGTTATCACAAGGATGGGAGTTTCAAAAGAAAACATTGCAAACTATAGACATTTATTTGTATTTAACATACAGAATACAAATCCAGAAGGAAATTCGGCGAGTGGGTTTCAGGTGCCATTTTGAGGGAAAATAAGAACAAACCCGCTGCCTACCAGCAAGTTTGTCGTAAAAGGTGACTTATTAGAAATTTGCTGAAATCACATGTGATGGCTGAAGGCGTAAATATGGTGTCTAGCTCTAAAGCGACAACACAGTGTGCCAATCACTCTTTTAAGGGTACACACATAAGTAGAAAATGAATAACAAAAGGAAACAAGCATCTGTATTCAACAGACAAGACATAACTGTTGCCTGAAGATATGCAAAACAGGATTACAGACCTAGAAAGCGGTTATCCTGAAAAATGAATCTGAGATCAAGAAAAAAAAAATTTTGAGCACATTGAACACAAAGTTTAACAAAGTATGAAACAACATGAGTTTACCAATGACAAGCAAGAACCATACAAGTTTAGAACAGAGTTTAATCAACTGTGTCGTGACACATTACTGCAATAATAAAACTAACAAATCTACCCCACATTCCTAATTACCTGGTCATAGTTTAGTATATCAATGTGTGTGTGTGTGCAGCTTTACCAAGAACAAGGACTATAACATAGCTCTACACCCCAGGGAAGAAAAGGAAAAGCTGGAAAATGATAATATATAAATACACGCAGAATATCACTGACGCAGAATGGCTTCACTGAGACAATGTAATGCTTCATTCATTGTAGTAAATGATGTGTATTATTTTAAGACAGCTACTTAACATTTATAATTCAGCAATATTGTAAGCAAGAACCCAAACAAACAAAAACAAATGAAATAACCATCACCTGTACAACTGTTGTGTTCTATGGAGGGAATTAACACATCAATGAACATGACACAGGCATCCCTAACTTTCGGCAAACAGTAGAACACATTCACAGACAACACAAATACCTGAACTCTGTTCAACAGGGTCAAGGGCAAGGTGATCAAGAGAGTGACTATCACTGGTCAAAGGTTAACAAATAACCTTGAACTCTGGTCAACAGGTCAAGTGCAAGGTGAACAAGCGTGTTAATAATCACTGGTGAGAGTTTAGTTTGAAATTACTGGGTTTTTCCTTTCTTCTTTTCTCTCAAAGTTTTTTTTCTTCTTTTTGTCTTGTGTTCACATGTGTATGATGTATGCACAGTAAAGAACATTTTTGTAGTGGCCATCTTGTGTAGCTGAATCCCTAATTTTTCCAAATTATTTATCCTTGTTTTATTGAATTCTCAGGTTCTAGCATGATTTAGTCCTTTCACTTTTTTAGGTTCCAGAAGAAGAGCTTTCCAGTTTGATACCATTAGCAAGCCTCTTTTTGCAACAGCAGCAGCTTTTCCTCACCTCATGATTTCCTGGAATCGGTTCAGTTATCTTGAAGAGCTCCACTTGGCGATTCTGTGATACCAATATTGCTAGTCAATTGGGTCTGCTTTCGAGTAATGTCTCTGCTATTAATCTAACTTTCCCCAAAGTCACAGTCAAAATATTTAGTTATGTCTGTGCATGTTGACTGTAGGATAAACAGAAATCTTGTTGTTTGCTTTGTCCTTGATTTTTTTGAATAGGAGAAAGAAAAAAACCCACTCTTATGCTAATTTCATACTGTTATTAGACACTACTTGTTCCTATACTGTCAAAAAAAAATACCATAGTTATCCTGCGGCAAGTTTTTAATTTGTTGATCGGAAACTCTGCAATGCTAAAAACTACCGATGACCCAGACATAAACAGTCAACTGATTGGTTGAACCCTACAGTATTCTTGTGTGCAATATTAATAATTTGACTCACGAAATTAAAGATTTTGAATATCAAAATTATGTTTCTTTCCGTAGCTATGTATTTATAAATAGTGACCAATGTTAACAAAAGTACAGCTCCACTCACAAACGTCAGAGATTTAAAAAACAAATTATATGTTCGTCAATACAGATAGCAAATCACATGTACTAGACCTGTAATTTCTCGTGAAGAAAAAGCTATTTGCATTTCACTTATTTATCACATTAGAAGCTACACCAAGAGGTGAAGAAAAGACGCTGGCGCTGATTAGGACATACGTTGAGAAAACCTGAGAACGATATAACTAGAATGTCTTTGCACTGGAAACCACAGAGGCATAGAAATAAATAAAGAAGAAAAAAACGTGGAGAGGTAGCTAGAGAGTGAAGTTAAAAAGGGAGAGAAGCATGCGATAGCGAAGGATAGAAATACTTGGCGTGAGTTGACTGAGGCCCTATGCTCTATTGGGGGTTAGAAAAGCAGAAGAAGAAGAAAAAATTCTAGATCTCAAACACTCAAGTTTATCTATAAAATTACGGTATGATGAGTAAACTGCAGTATGTGCCCTGTAAAATCAACATAAGCAAAGAACATTAGCGTTAATTCACCACCACTCTCTTCTTCTTCTTCTCCTTCTTAGCATTTACAGCTGTCAACTTCAGCAGCAAGTTCTGGTTGCTCGTCTATTTCTGGAATTTAGTCTTGTTCCAGAACTTGGGTTTTGTGTGTAAATCCATTTTACAGATCTGTCTGCAGACTGTTGGTTTCCCATCTCTCAGCAGATGCATTCAGACCTCAAAGGAACATCAACAATAAATTTGAAGCATATAAGCAAACAGCTGCTTTCTTATGTAACAAACTAATAATGAAACGATGATACTTTTGTGACAATATTGTTTTATATATATAAATATTGACAGGAAAGAAAGATCTGTCTTAATGCAATATTGAAACCTTTCAAAATGAATGATTTTAGACCATCCACCATCAATCCAGTATTCTGTTTCAAAGCAGAACTAACTGGTATCTAATTAAGAGGTTATCAATAACTTTCAAATTATGTATTCAACAATTTGTGTGTGTGTGTGTGTATGTGTTGATAATGTGGACCCATCGCAGTGATATTCTCCTCCTGTCCGGCTTGCACAAGCAGATTTGCCAGCTTCTGTTCTCACACGGAGGTCCCGCTGTCACTGGGTGAAGCAGCCTGCAAACAGAAGAATTGGTTGGTAACAGTTACGACACTTCGAAATTCAATGACAAAAAAACCACAAAGACAAATGTAATGCTTGTGGGCAAGCCAAACTGGCATACTAATTGATGAAACTGTTAGCCAAGACAACAGGCTGGCTGCCTTACTTTCAGCATCAGGTTTTGAAGAGGCATCAAATATGTACATTCGTGTCTGCTCGCTATGTAGACAGTTTTTACGGCCCCGGATGTGTGTCTAAGTGACAGTGCTCTCTGTGGGACACTATCTTGTAGTAGACACATCTCCGAACCATGTGATCTGTCATCTCTTTATGTAGTTTAGTACTTGTTCTGTCCCAACTTGTTTTCTAATATCGTCATTTCTGAACCAGAATCTTATTTATTTGTTTAGCTTCATCAACAGTTCTTATTAATACAATCCAGTTCAACACTTATGGCTGTTCTGTTCTTTTCTTCTTTCCTCTCTCAAGAGGCAGGCAACATACCTAGTGAGATTAACTGTGTGCCATCTCCTGGATGGAGTTTTACTAATAATACTAGCATGTTGACTTTTCGTAGGCTACTGAAGAAGGGGATGGAGCAGGTGTGAACGCAGGGATGTCAGTTCTGGACTCATTCAGGATGAAGGTTAGCTGCAATGGATCTCTGCAGCAACTGCTGTTTTAGGGGATATTATGTGGTGATGTCCCAAACTCTTCCAGTGTGACTCTCACTGTACAAAAACTACAAGAGCAGCACCTTTCTAAACTGCCCACCCCCATACCTGGTTATGTACCCCTGGACACAGGTCAATGTGTCAAACCTCAGCGTGTATTTGTACAAGGCGTATCTCCCCTAGACTGATTCTACCTAAGTAACCAGCTCTGAAAGATGTGGTAGTGTTGTGGCTAGACACCTAGCTGTCAGCCAGAAGGTCTTGGTTCCAATCCACTTACTTACTTTCATAGTCAGTTATGAGTAAGATTATCTTCACAGCACTCCGGACACATTCATAGACGTTCAGATTCCCCTCTCAACATATTCATCAGCATCATGCAGTAATAGTACCAGTCCTTTTTTGGTTAACAAGACTTCATGTGCGTCCGGTGTGCTTCTCGTGCTTAGCTGTGTCGATCTTTACTCCTAGTTCTCTTATTCTTAGCCGTGATGTGGACACACTGCTTCAATAATCTTCAGAACGTCCTATCTCTCTAAGAGCAATGCCAATGTCTGCCTGTTTCATGGGCCAGCCATCTTCAATTAATGCAGCACCTGCCTCATTACCAACAACACCGGCATGCCCTGGGACGAATATGAAGGTAATTGCACACACAGGAGAGTTTTGCAATGACTCAAACCACTGAGTCAAGTCGGTCTTCTTCTGCCTTGGGGTGTAGAGATTTGCCAGAGATACACCCAGAAGTCTCTATCAGCAGTTTTCTTTTTAGCTTTGTTCCATTTGAGTCTTCTTTCAATCAGGGACTGTCAGATGTCTTGATAGCGAACCCTAGGTCGTACTGCAGGCCTGGTTCCCTCGCTCTTAGCCTTCCATGCTTGCCGTGGTGGCCGATTCTCTCCCATGTCTGCCGTGGTGGCCGATTCTCTCCCATGTCTGCCATTGTAGCTGATTCTCTCCCATGTCTGCCGTGGTGGCTGATTCTCTCCCATGTATGCCATGGTGGCTGATTCTCTCCCATGTCTGCCATTGTAGCTGATTCTCTCCCATGTCTGCCATTGTAGCTGATTCTCTCCCATGTCTGCCATTGTAGCTGATTCTCTCCCATGTCTGCCATGGTGGCTGATTCTCTCCCATGTCTGCCATTGTGGCTGATTCTCTCCCATGTCTTCCGTGGTGGCCGATTCTCTCCCATGTCTGCCATTGTAGCTGATTCTCTCCCATGTCTGCCGTGGTGGCCGATTCTCTCCCATGTCTTCCGTGGTGGCCGATTCTCTCCCATGTCTGCCATTGTAGCTGATTCTCTCCCATGTCTGCCGTTGTGGCTGATTCTCTCCCATGTATGCCATTGTAGCTGATTCTCTCCCATGTCTGTCATTGTAGCTGATTCTCTCCCATGTCTGCCGTTGTGACTGATTCTCTCCCATGTATGCCATGGTGGCTGATTCTCTCCCATGTCTGCCATGGTGGCTGATTCTCTCCCATGTATGCCATGGTGGCTGATTCTCTCCCATGTCTGCCATTGTAGCTGATTCTCTACCATGTATGCCGTTGTGGCTGATTGTCTTCCATGTCTGCCGTTGTGGCTGATTCTCTCCCAAGCTCTTCCTTCCAGACAAGTAAGTTGGACTGAAGATGTGTCTCTGATTTAGCTATCAGGGCCACAATGTCTGCAAATGCCTGCTCTGATATGCAGGTTGGTGTTATCTTACAGTACCCTACAGAGTACTTCTTTGTCTTCTCCTTATGGATCTTGATGACATTATCCATAAGAAGGATTAAGAGGTAAGGTAAGAGGACATATCCCTAACACCGCTAGTGGTCTTGAATTCTACTAGTTTCCTGTTCTTACATAATTTCTGCATTTTCTGTATTGCACTGATCAGGGGTGCTCGAATGTTTTTCCCTGCCAAGCAGTCCCAGAGCTTGCTCCAGTGAACCTTATCGAATGCCTTTTCTAGATCCAGGAAACATAAATGCATCTCGCTCTTATATTTTAGGACTTTTTCATTCATCTGTCTGAGTGTGAAGATAAGGTTTTAAGTAATTCGGTTTGCTCTGAAGCTGCATTGGGCTTAACCCAGCTGTGGTTTTGGCGGACATGTGAGTCTCTGCTCGAGAATTCAAGAGTAACTGTTTCCAGGAATGTAGAAGAGGGATAAGCCTCTGTGGTTTTCACACTGTCTGTAATAACCCTTTTTAAATACAGATATAATCGGTTCAATCTCTGCTGTCCTATTTATTTCATAACTGACCTTGGCTCCCAGTCAACTCAGCTTAAACTGGGTAACAGGAAATGTCCTGGGAAGTAAAGACGGTTGGTATGATGTTGACATCATCACCCATAGAGTGCTGACGGGTATATGAAAATATGCTTCTCTGATCATATTCTTGAAGAGCCACTAGCTCTAGCAGCTCTGGGCAGGCAGGTTGTTCTTGTTTAATGATCTTGCCATGGCAATGGTCATACAACTGACTATCACTGATTTTCAACAGTTTTGGGATTTTTAACTTATGCACAACACATACTGGTTTTTTTTTTCAATCATTTGCAAGAGAACTGGGTATGCAAACTCACTCACTACTCAAGAGATCCAGAGGATGTATATCAGAGCTGTTCAACTAAGTTTGCTCAGGGGCCAACAATCTGAAAATGCAGATCACCAGAGGCCTGAGCCACAATACAACTAGCAATGATCTGCGGGCCACTTGTTAGGCCCAGCGGGCCAGATCTGGCCTGCAGGACACCAGCCGAATATCCCTGATACAGTATATATCATTACATGACCAGGGAGGGCTTCCTATAAAAGGCTCAGCTCAAAGCCAAGATCTGATACACATTATCTTAGGTACTAAAGTTTCCAGTATCAAATCAGAAAATGATATAAGCTAGTTTCTCTGAACAACTTCTATTTTCTAGTTTGTGAGAAGATTTCATTCTACAACTTGAATCTTCAGTCTGTGTACGTTGTACACAATTGTATGTCGTTAAAAAACTGCAACAGCTGAAATACCACATGTGTTAAACTATGTTAAATTTAACATCTTATGCCATATCTAAACAAAAATGCAAGATAGCAATGTTTTATTTATCAAACATTAAAACAAAAACGTGGCAAATGAATCAAGGATGATTTCATGGGGAGAACTGTCAAAAGCTGATGATTAAAGTCCAGCTGCTCACAGCAACCAGGACAAGCATTTTTTTTCCATCTCTGGTAAATACAGTGTTTTTTTTTGGGGGGGGGGGGGGGGGGGGGGGGGGGGGGGGGGGGGGCCAGATCAGAACCCAGGTCTGCCAGGTCTGCTGATTGAGAGACTGGTATCTTGCTTGCTCTGCCCGAATTTATGCTCACAGAATAAAAAAAACACACACTGTCTGGGTATCCATGATTTTTAAGTCCAATATAAGTTCATACACGATGATACTGCAAACAACTACAGAGAAAAAAAACAATGTGACCACTTAAGCCTTTAAACAAATAATGCTAACTATGCGCAATTTGAGAAAACAACAGAACAGAGGAGAATTTTACCTCATGTAAAAGCATCATTCAGCAATTTTGTTTTATTTATGAAGATTAATTTTAAGATTACAACAAATCATAAGATGACATTTTCAGAGCTCAAAACTGTGTGTGTGTATGTCTTGTGGATGTAGTGGTGGTATGTGCATGCGTGTGTGTGTGTGCATGCGTGTGTGTGTCCGTACATGTCCAAAGAGAGCAATTAGAAAATATGCACAAAAAGAGGGAAAAGCAATATAAGAAACATGCACAAGCAAACAAAATAATCGGGTTTGTTAAAAAAAAAAAAAATGCGCTGACACCCAGAAATTGCTACAAAGCATAATGAGATCCAAAGTGCAAAAGGTTTCTGCCAATGTTAAAGGATGTCAAACAGACTAGACTACAAACTAGTTTACCAGGTCCACCATATTCTTGCTACAAACCAAATGAAGGTTTCTAAATGTAATATTTAATTATGTGGAAAGTTTTGTTTATCTTTTCAGATTGGTTGCTTTGTAAACATTCATTTGTGTAGTACACTTAAGTACTTCAGCCTCGTGTACACATGACTTTTTATCTCTCACAAATATTATTTTGACCTCCTCCTACACTACACAAGTACATATTTTTTTTTAAAATCTAGACACATTATTTTTATCTTCTTCATATAAGTACTTTCACCGTCTCCTACACAAAAGTTTGGGTAAAGCTGGGGTGACCATCTCTAACCCAACTCGTCCACTAGTGGCGGATCGTGGAGCATCCCCTAGAATTCAGAGAAAAAAACTGTCTTTATCACTTGTTGTTGAGTCTGTGTCCGTCCCATACTGGTTGAAAAAAATATAAATCTAACCTTGCCAGAGACTGAATCGAAGACCTCTGTACGATCAATAGAGGTTTAGAAAAAAAAAAAGTACTAAGCACTATATCTGAGCCTTTTAGTCGTAAGGCATTGAAAGGTTGAGAAAAACAATTCAAACGGCTAGGCCTTGACCCTGCTGTTTCAAAAAAAAAAAAAAAAACCTAATCAAGAAAAACAATTCAAATGGCTAGGCTCCGCACCCTTTGTTAAAAATAATCTAATCAAGAAAAACAATTGTAAATGGCCAGGCTCTTAAACTTTTAAATAATCCAATGAAGAAAATACAATTGTTAATGGCCAGGCTCTGAAACTTTTAAATAATCTAATGAAGAAAATACAATTGTAAATGGCCAGGCTCTGAAACTTTTAAATAATCTAATGAAGAAAATACAATTCAAGTGGCTTGGCTCTGAAATCGTTTAAAAAAAAAAAGTAATCAAGAAAAACAATTCAAATGCCTGGACTCTGATCCTTCTGTTAGAAACAATCTACTGGGGTGGGTGGGTGGGTGGGTGGGTGTGTGGGCTCTCAGAGTAAGCATGCAGCAGATAAAGAAAGTAACTGAACTTCAAACCTGCTAGAACTTCCGAAAACCCTATATATTATACAAACAAATAACATGTCAGATTTCTTTCCAGTTCAATGTTTTCTTGACTCAAGACTGATATTTTTAAAAAGACAATATTTTTTTGTGTGTGGTAAACTTGATCACAGGAAACCTTACCAAGTGAAAATGTGCTAGACATATTTTCACTGGGAACACTATAGTGTCCTTTGATGAAAGTTTACCAAATCAACACATGTAAAGTATTATTTTTGGTTAAATGTTAATGTTACCCATCTGACTACATCACAGAGATAGATCAGTTATATAGCTTATTATTTTACTTTAGAGTTTAATTTTGCGTAGACTGATACAACAGTTTTTTTTAACCCCGCTATAGTAAATATTAGCCAGGAAAACTAAAGAAATTAACTTTCTGTTTGAGTGTTTAACTTATCTAGGTAAATATTACCTATATATAATTAGTCTAGATGATTACAGTTACTACCCATATAAGGAAATCATTTAGTGTTAATTTTCTGACCAAATGCTAACATTTCTATAATTAGCATTCCCTTACGAAGATAACGAATGAGATTTAATTGTTTCGTTATTTTCTTCTAATTTACAGTTCTTCCCTACATCATATAATGACGGTCCTTTAATTTGTCAGCAGACGTATTCTGATTTAACTAAATTTATCGCGGGCAATGTACCGGAAAGAAACAATATTCAAAGCTCATCTTCCTCCTGGTCAGCCCTTGTCCATCCTTTCCAGGCATCATGCCCTTTGCTATAAATTTTTTTTCCAAACCAGCCAAAACTCAGGTTTGTTAATTCTTTCAATCTCAAGCAATTAGTGTTGTGTGCCTCTTCCCTCTGAATCCTAACAATTACAAAGTGTGTTCTCCAGTCGAGAGGGAAAAGTCTGAGGGTCAAAAGGGGCGGAATTCAAGATATCGCCGTTTGCTTGAAGTAGCATCTTGCGACATAAGCTCCCCCTTTGAAGCTTTCTGTAGGAATGCTAAGATCGCTTCAAGTGAGATATGAATACCAGACTTCCATGTCTTGGCTTCTAAGACTTCCACTGGTCTGGATTTTCAGTTCTCTTTGTGGCATTGCTCTTTTTTGTTTTTGTTTTGTTGTTGTTGCTAAGAGCAAACTAAAGAATCTGGCTAACCTAATAGCCATGTCTTGTATTTAATAATCCCGATTAGTAGCCATGTCTTGTATTTAATTATCCCGATTAGAAGTAATGTGCTCGTTATTTTTCAGTGGTAATCCACCCTCCCTGTGAAATCTGGTGCAAAACTTTCTGGGTGTGAAAATGTTAGTGTTTACAGCGCAGGAAACACTCCCCACTTTAGAGGCAGCCACGACAGCATGGTCACAGGATGTTGTTGATCAGACCGGATGGAAAGGATGGAGCAAAATTACTCCAGCCAGAGCAACAAAGAATACACACTAACAGATATGGAATAATAATAATACTTTATCAATATATTTCATCCTTCTATGGAGTGGACTGAAAATCCCAGTATCTCAAAACTAAACCAATATATGGCATGCATGCTAATCTCTCTCACAGATAAAAAATACTTTAACTGTGGGAAAACTGGGGTGATGGAAAAAAACAAACATTAAAAGGTATGATGTAAGGGGAGATCACACTAAAAGGACAAGCTGGATGATGCTGCTAATATAGTTTCACGGGCAAACGAAAACTTCTGACAAATTATCAATAAAGAAATAATTGTACATATATATGACCTTATAAAACAAAGAGAAGCTCCAATTTTCAGGTAGAGTGTGCTGTGTATATTGTAAAATTATAGCAAACCTATCCTGAGTCTCAGTTTCTGCCATTAATTTTAGATTTTGTCAGAATATGCTGCAGTTTTTCTGTCCTCCTCCTCCTGCTTTTCACTTCCCAACAGAGCATAGGTCCTGAATCAACTCATCTAAGTCTTTTGTAGACTTACAATTGTTAACTGTGGAGCTACTCTTCTACGGTACGAGGTAATCAGTCTCACCACTATACCTTCATAGTTATCTCTTATGGCATGCATGACATATTAGAACGTTACTCTTCTTCTTAGCATTCCCAGGCTGTAAACTCCAGCGAAAAGTTCTAGTTGTTTGTCCATTTGCAGACTTAAGTCTTGTTCCAGAACTTGAATTTTGCGTGCATGTCCGTGTCACAGATCTGGTTTACTTGCGTGCAGACTGTTGGTTCTTCATCTCTCAGGCAGATGTGTTCTAACTTCGGAGGAAAAGCGTTACTATTTTGTGCTCCCTGTTTAGGCTCCAGTACAACATGGGTGATCTCTTTTGGCTCTAAACTGTAACTATTTTTGTTAGCTACTTTTGTATCTGTCTCTGTAACAAAGAACATTTAGGTTACTAATTGTGGCTGTCCATAACTATTATTAACATTCTTTTATAAAACAATTTTATTTGGTTTATCTCTCGTCTTTTAATTAGCTTTCACTATTCCACATTGTAGCTAACTCTGTCCTTGAGTCGGGATTAAATTATAATGAGTTCTACATTAACAAAAAAATTATTATACCTGAGATTTTATGTCCAAAATGTGTCCATGATATGTTCCATATGAGTCAATTCCATGCTGCATTCAATCTTCTTTTTCTTCAGCCCTTGAAATTCATTGCTGCTGATATCCACCTCCACTTACGTGACCGGCCTTCTCTTTCTAATTGTTTGCAGGCATGCCTGGATTTTATATCTCCACCATATTCTTTTTGTGACTCGTGGTTTACTCACATTCATCTCTAATAGATTAGGAATTTTAATGGTGGCTTTTCGCTCTCCGTTCTCTCTTTATTGCCTGAACAGAACCACTGCTGTCTATTAGTAGCCCAAAATACTGTTTTAAAAAATGTATTAATGAGAACATATTTTACTTAGCTAAAGATTAAGACTAAAAAACAGATATTTTCAAGATTAATGTATTTATTCTCAATATGCGCATTGAGAAACAAAAAGATGCCCCAAAATGATGCCGATTTGGGTCATAATGGGCCCACGGAATATACAATGAGGATTAGAGTGAAGCAACAAAAGGTAGGGTATTCGGCGGGACCATTAACCCCTAGCAGATCATGAAACCACCAGCCCTGGTCGTTATCTGAAAGAGGCTCTACTCACCAACATCCCCAGCTGTGCCTGCAAGTGAAACCACGGACATAGAGAACTGACCAATGTGTGAAACCACGGACATAGAGAACTGACCAATGTGTGAAACCATGGACATAGAGAAATGACCAATGTCTTCAGATTTGCCGATTCTTTGTACAACTGTTAATATTCCTGCATCTTAATGCACCTCTAGAGTCCACATGTATCTTCTTCTTCTTCTTCTTCTGTGCTCGAACTTGACACTGTGTTGTGGTTTACAGCTAGGCTGTTACATCTGCGTCTTTCAGGCAAACACATCTGATTTCAACGGATCCTTAACTGGTTGCCTTTTACAATGAATATGTTAATCGACAAGTGGTATATTTTTTTCTTCCTGTACTGTAGCCCTGGATTCCACACAGGTAGACCCAGTTTACAGACCTCTAACTTTGGATTACTTATACAACTTTTTTGGATGGTACACTACCCATGTACGTTAATTTTCTTCTGTTTTTCTTAAAAAATGCAACTCGCATGTTGTAATGTGATTTACAGCTAGGCTGTTACATCTGCGTCTTTCAGGCAAACACATTTGATTTCAACGGATCCTTAACTGGTTGCCTTTTACGATGAATATGTTAATCGGCAAGTGGTATTTTTTTTCTCCTCCTCGTACTGCAGCCCTGGATCCCACAGGTAGACCCAGTTTACAGACCTCTAACTGTGGATTACTTATACAACCCTTTTGGATAGTACACTACCCATGTACGTTAATTTTCTTCTGTGTTTTTCTTATAAAATGGAACTGGCATGTTGTGATGTGATATACAGCTAGGCTGTGATATCTGCACCTTGCTGCCCAACACATCTGATTTCAGCTAACCCCTAATCAGTTTCCTTGTCAGACAAGCTATATGACTGCAATGGAACCTTTTTTCTAAACAGCTATTTTAAACAGTTAACGTATATTTTACTAATACACCTTCTCATACTTCACTCACAGTAAATACAAACTATCACCACCTTTGTTCCTTATCTTATGTGTTCTTCCTTAAAAAGGCAGCTGACTTATATGGTTTACAGCTGGCCTGCGAAATATGCTTCTTTCGGTCCAACACATCATATTTCAGTAAACCCAAATCAGCCACTTTTTACGACACCCGTGTTAGGTGAGGGAGGCAGGGAGAGGGTGGATCTCCCCCCCCCCCCCATGGGGTCCCAAAACCCACAAGGAGACTCACCACCACCTATGTTTATTGACTAGAATTTGTTCAATTTAATTAAAAACATCTGTTTAGAATCAGCCTAATAAACATATTTCCACAACTAATAATACTTTTTCTTATAAAATGCTTTTTACTGACCAAACAAAAACTCCTTTTCTCAAAATTTTCTAACTTAAAATATCATAGCAAAGTGAAGAAATCTGCAGTCAAAACAGATACTTTTAAAAAAAACCTAGCTACTTAAAAAAAAAAAAAAACATTTACCCAGCAATAATTTTTTCATGTCACATTTAATTACTTTTCTACTTAATAATATTAGCGTGACTTTACAAATATATACTTAAAACTTCTATTCTACGCAACAACGTAGGGGACGGGCCTCGGTGAGCTGGTCCAGGTGTCTAGTGGAAAAGAGTTTCTCACCCCTTGAAAGCCCATCGTGTCCGAATTGTCTGCCAGTGATCCTCTGCCACCTGCTAATAAAAGTCCAACATGTGTCCGGTAAACCAATCGTAAGCTTGTCGCTCGGTCGTCCAGGTATGCTGACTGCTTTAATTAGGCTGCCGCGACGACTTCTTATCTCACAGTACCTTCTGCAACCACCAAGTTGTCTTGTCCCTATCCGAAAGAAAAATACCATCCGGTAATCTCGTGCAGCAGGGTACCAGCCCTGAGCCTCATGAACTCAGGTGGGCCCACCTCCGAAAGCGTCTAGGAATCGTGGGCTGAAACACTCGTTGACGAGGATAATTTCTACTGACGACTGGTAGATCCCTGCTGTACTTGCTCTCTGTGAGTTTATTCCTATAGTAGTAGGATAATAGCGGCATGAATTTATTAAAGTATCTATGTATCTATATCCCCTTCATGTCATTGACACATAAGACATTCACAAGTATCTCTATTGCTGCTGAACTGCTGCTTTTCTGCCCATGGGATCCCATGTCATTTAAAATTCCTTCATTACCTTTTCTTCCGTCCTCCTGGTTTCCTTAGGTCACCCGTGTCTCCTCCTCTATCTGCCGTCTACAGGAGAGCTGTCCTTGCCAAAGTGTTACAAGGCATTCTGCAGACATGTCAAATCAAAGCATCTCCACCTTCTTCCTATAATAATGTTTGCCAGTAATGAACATTTTATATTCCTTCGCAGTTCCCATCTGTGATCCTGTTTGGCAAAAATATTTGCTGAATACCGAGATATTTATTTGTTATAATCTCTAGTTTATGTATTTGATTGTCTTCTATGGAGTATAAATACGAAATTCAGAAAAAAAGTTAATCAAGATTTTATACTTCTAAAATTATTTCTTTTAAAAAAATTTAAAAAAAAACTGCCTTCTGCAAGCAGGACCGGTGACTCACCAGACGTTCACTGAGTTGCCTGTTGGAAGCTATCTCTCGCTCCAGGAGCCTTTGCTTCTCAGAGAGTTTAACACGCAGCTAAACATCCAGGATACCACAAGCAACAACATTAAGGTGAGGCCATAACAGCAGTGTTAGTGACAAATAGTGACAGGGATTACAAACATATTTCAAAGCAGAAAAACAGCACTGGACTACTCAACCATCCTGCTTGTGTGCAGGTAAACTGATGTATGCAGATGAATATTACTGACTGTGACCTTGTGAGGTTATGTTACAGTTCTACTTCTTCTTCATGATCTTCAGCTGTAAACTTCACTGGAAAGTCCTGAGTGAGCATCCACTTCTGAACTTTGGTCTTGTTCCAGAACTTCAGCTTTGCATGCACATTCATTTTACATCTCAGGCAGATGCACTCCAACTTCAAAGAAAACAACCCTAAATAGTAGCCTTTTATGACATGCTTGTAAGGAGGGCAGTGGTACTGTTCTCCCCCCCCCCCTCACAATGTCCTGGAGCCACACTTGGGGAGGTTTGATAGTTATGAACTGTTAACCTTTGATAGTTATGAACTGTTAACCTTTGATAGTTATGAACTGTTAACCTTTGATAGTTATGAACTGTTAACCTTTGATAGTTATGAACTGTTAACCTTTGATAGTTATGAACTGTTAACCTTTAATAGTTATGAACTGTTAACCTTTAAGATCCTAAACTGTTCCTTAGTTGTTTGTGTTTTCTGTGAATTATTTGATGTCTAAGATTTCCTACAGTGTATTGTGATTTCTGTGTTTATAATAGTAAGTAAAATAAGTAAAGGAGGCTTTTCACAACATTGGCACAAGACAGCTAAATTCCAATTTTTACAGACCAATTAGCATTCAGTGTGTGCCTTCTTAGACAAAATTAGGTCACTCCATCACTACGAGGGACATTATCCGCTATGTGGTTTAAGACAAGCAGTTTCATCTGTGCCTATAAGCTGTTCTTATTGCTGTTCTCATCCTCTGGTGCAAATTTTTTCCTCAATTAAAAAATTATAGGTGCCCACTCTGGAGGTTTTCCGAGATGTAAGGCAACATATTTGTGCAGTAGACTCATGCTCCCCACAAATTTCTCTGCAGTATCTTCCAGAAGAAGAGCCTCCTCTGACTTTGACTAGGTTTTTTTTTATGTATCTTCTTATTCTTTCGATTATCCTCCAATGGAGGCTCTCATCAAACCCTCCCATCCTATCTGATTATCCTAACCTTTATCCTCCAATAAAAGCCCTTGTCAAATCTTCCCATCCTATCTGATTATCCTACCCTTTATCCTCTAATAAAAGCCCTTGTCAAATCTTCCCATCCTATCTGATTATTCTACCCTTTATCCTCCAATAAAAGCCCTTGTCAAATCTTCCCATCCTATCTGATTATTCTACCCTTTATCCTCTAATGAAAGCCCTTGTCAAATCTTCCCATCCTATCTGATTATCCTACCCTTTATCCTCCAATAAAAGCCCTTGTCAAATCTTCCCATCCTATCTGAATATCCTACCCTTTATCCTTCAATAAAAGCCCTTGTCAAATCTTCCCATCCTATCTGATTATCCTACCCTTTATCCTCCAATAAAAGCCCTTGTCAAATCTTCCCATCCTATCTGATTATCCTACCCTTTATCCTCCAATAAAAGCCCTTGTCAAATCTTCCCATCCCATCTGGATATCCTACCCTTTATCCTTTAATAAAGGCCCTCGTCAAATCTTCCCATCCTTTGCCACTGCATGCAGCCCAGACCATGTCCTCCACATTTGTTGAACTTCACTCCCTGGTTCACTTCACCGTGTTTTCTTTGGGGTCTGCCTTTATTTCTATACCCAAGTGGGTTCCAGAGTAAATACATTCTGGTTATATTGTTTTCAATGCTGCCTTATCTTTTTTAGATTTGTGTATTTTTGGTTGGATTTTGCAGCTAAGGTTTCTATAGGATGGGGTTGTCAGTGCCATGCCAATTCTTTTTTTTTGCAGCCTCATAAAAACTGGGATGTAACAGTGGTAATAACATTATCTGCCTTCAATAAGGACTCGGGTATAAATAACCAGTGTTATTAATGCTAAAAGTTGTTCCAAAGTGTTTTCAGAATGTGCCAGGTCATGAATCTGTGTGTGTGTTCATGTTCTCACCTCAATCTATCATGAACATTAAACATAATCTATGACTATTGTGTGAGAATTAGGGAACGGGGGAAGGGGGGGGGGAAATTTAGAGAGAGAGAGAGAGAGAAACAGACAGACAGAGAGAGAGAGACAGAAAGAGAGAGAGGCAGACAGACAGAAACAGAGAGAGTGAGATTAATGGGGGAGGGGGGGGGGGAATTAGAGAGTGAGATGAGAGAGAGAGTGTGTGTGTGTGAGGGAAGCAGAAAGATGGAATGGGTTGGGGGGGGGGATCCTTAAAGTAGATCTGTGTTACAGTTCAAATATCTACCCCCCCTCCCCCCCCCACCCCCCCAAAAAAAAATTCCCCAAAATAGTGCTCAGACAAGTATTTTCTTTACACATTTTACAACACAGATTTACTTCTGAAAGTTATGTATTTTACAACATTAACAACAATCAAAATATCAGCAGACGGGTTATGCATGTTATAGAAGTGATAAGGCTAAGAGGGATACATCAAAGTGTCAGCTGGCAACACACTAATATATTATAATACAGCTTGTGATAATAATTATTTATTTATTAGAGAAGCAAAGATGCAACAGAACAATGAAGTAACATTGTAATCAAACAAGTCTTAAAAGTTTGTATGATGCAGATTAAAGAAAACAGAACAAAACAGTGAGGAAATCAATTATCAAAAAAAAAAAAGGAAAGTATTAATTAAACTTATCAAACAAGTTTTTTAAAAAGTCAAATGATGCAGATTTTAGAAAAATAGAACATGGCAGAAATTAACAAGAATGTAATCAAATCAAAATTCTTTGTGGTTCTTTCAAGTAATCGTTAAAAAAAAAAAAAACCGCCTTCCATCTGAATTTAATAAACACATTCAAAAAATTCTTAATTGTGAAAAAATTAACCACACAAAAACACGTACTGTTTGGTTTACATGCAAAAACCTTTTAATTTTTTTAAACATACTGTAGATGTTTAAATGCGAGCAGAAACCACTGAGAAAAAAATTTGTAAACATAGTTTATTCCAAATATTGTTTTTTTTTTTTACAGATAACAGACAAAATGGCAATACAATATAAAGAATGCAGATACAGCAAAGAAAATTAAAATGACACAACAAAACACTTATACCTGATCTACTTCTTCCAATTCTGTGGCTCCGGAATTCTGAAAAATAAAATCAAGATTTTAGTGTCTGCTTCATAAAGACTGCCAAAAAAAGCCATTACTACCCGTATTCAT